TGTGAGCTTCCTTGGCTCCTCCCCCCACGCCAGCCGCACTCACTGCCCGGCGTCATGCCCTCCTACACGGTCACTGTGGCCACCGGCAGCCAGTGGTTCGCGGGCACCGACGACTACATCTACCTCAGCCTCATTGGCTCTGCGGGCTGCAGCGAGAAGCACCTGCTGGACAAGGCCTTCTACAATGACTTCGAGCGTGGCGCGGTGAGGACGCGCGCTCGGGACCCAAGGACTGGGGAGGGGGCGGGGACAGGGGCTGGCTGCAGCGGGGCAGGACTGAGTCCCAACTGTGAGCGCATCTGGGACTCTGACTGCAGCGCCAGAGCCTGTGCATGTCACGGCAAGTGGGACTTAGGTATTGAGGAACTCTGGGTTTCCTAGTGGCGAGACCCCGTAAGAGACAATGCTGCCAGTGTAGGTTCTGCATGGGGCTGGCTTCTTCCGTGGGTGAAGGCATAAAGTCTCACAAATGGGACCCAGAACTTGTGAGAGGAGTTCTGTGGTCCTTGTGTCTCAGCTATTCTACTGAAAAGCACGGAAAGCCCTGTTAGACAACCTTCTGTTTTGTGTAGGCAGGGGTTCAGTGTAAGTCAGAGAATCAGAGCCCAGAGTTCCACTTGGGCGTGATCACTGTTCTATCCCTATTGTGGACCTCAGTTTACCAAGCCGAAAACAGGTTAGGTCCAATCTTATCCATGAGTCATGGGGAAGTCCAGTCCCATTTGGTGGCTTCCCTGCACCCAGCCCTGGAGGAATTTCAAGGAAGAAAATTCCCTAACAGCAGCCTTTGGAAAGCCTGTCAGCAGGTGCATACAAGGGGACACTTCCTCCCTGAGTATTAACCTCTCTCTGGAGGGAAAAAAAGATTTCCGTCTTTCCTTCTAATACAGACTCTGGAATCTGGTAACTCAGGAGCCAAAGTAGCCAGTGTTCTTGCGTCTGCAGCCCCACCCAGGCGCTGTGGGAGGCTATTCATCTTGGATGCTACTGTTGTGTACATTCTAGCTCGTGGCTAGCACAGACAGGTCATGGTTTTCAGGGTCCTACTACATGCCCAGTGCATAAAACTTGATCAGTGAGTGACTAACAGACACTGAAGGAATTCAAAGGGTGTCTTTTTCCTTCTACCACCTCCAGATCTTAAAACACAACCAAAATGCTCAGATTTCACCAGGCTGCCTGCTTAGTTTATGGTTAAGTCAACCCACATGAAACTCTAAGTAGACTTGACTCCTATCCTGAGACCTGGTAGGCAGCCAGGAATTGCAAGCTACTAACCAGGCTTGAACTCCCTTCAGGTAAAGGTGTATGTGGCCCCTCAGAATGGCATCTCATGCGTGGTTTCTGCAGTCTGTGAGTTGGCCCCGAACTGTGCTGCAGCAGGCAAAGTGTGGCATCCGTTTGGGATGGGGACACCTCTGGGACCTTCAAAGCACTTTTGTTTATTTTCACTATTTTGGGGGTTCTCCCAGTATCTAGGGGAAAGGTTACTTCTTCCATACCAATGGACTGCAGGGTCCTTCTCCACAAATCTATTGAAGCACAGACTATAAGTGAGCTCAGACTCCATAGCACAGGACACATGGCGGTGTGTCGTTTCCCCCAGGGGGAGAATAGCAGTGTGGCCATCGTAGGTGACTGGATAGGAAGTGAGAACACTGTTCTGTTCATTATTTACGTTGTTCTGTTCTGTTTCCCAACCTGAAAAGACATTCAAGTGACATTGCAATTAAACACCTCAGCAAGAACCCCAGAGGCAAATTTCAGGAGAGATTTGCATGCATATTTCCATGGGAGAGAAGGACGTGCAGGTTAAGCGGAACTGCTGTCCTACAGCTGAATGCAAAAAGAGCCTTAGCAAAAAAAGAAAAGAAAAAGAAAAGAAAGAAAAAGAAAACAGCTTTTGAGAAAGTTCCTGTTGATGCAAAGTTGCTACATACTCTGTCTTGCGCATCCAGAGCTACTTCCTCATTCTGTGGCCTGTGTATCTTCAAAGTCCAGACGTCCCTTTTGGGTAAAGGTAGAAGATAAGGCTTGCTGAGAAGATAAAGCTTAGAAAAATGCCAGTGTTACCATGAATAACACGGAAAATGGCTACCATAAAGGTCCTAGATCACTGCCAGCCCCCCCTTGCTATGCACTTGGATAATGGACAGTACTAATTTGTTTAATAAGTTGCACTGCTGCCCATCCCCCACTATTCCCATAAGAGTTCTGCATAGGGATTCAGGTCAGGAACCGAGTCATTTGCAGATGGGGTTCTCCTGAACGCCAGTCATTCAGTGGATTCCTGATGTCCGTTGAGGACAGCCCAGATAGAACAGGAACCGCCTTGTCTCATAAGCTAGTCCTACGCTTTAACAAATTTGGAGATTTCAAGGACACCTTAGTTGGCTACTTCACCTGCTCAACAGTACTTTGGAAAAGCTAAGGATAGCATGCTGTTGAGTATATGGTTCTTGAATATAGTCAGACCATGTAAATTCATCTTATAGATAATATGCTTCTTAAATATGTGTAACAAGTATTTATGGAGAGTAAATTCTATAGGACCTCTTTAGGAGAAAGAGCATCAATGGAGGACAAATATTTCTCTTCATTAACCATATGCCAGTCATCCTCGCTGCCCAGCTCCCCGCATCCTGCCCTTCATCCTCCTCTCCTTCCTTCCTTTGCCCCCCACTCACCCTCTAACTATCCTTTCTTTTCTACTGTAATGTCTTTTTACTTCTCTATCTTTCGGCCTCCCCTGACTGCCCTCTTCTGCACCCCTCATTTCCCCACTTCTGTCTCCACACTCTCTTAACGACTGCCCCCATCTCTCTCATTCTCTGCAGTTTTTGGTCTTTGCATCTCTTCCTTTCTGTTTCTCGTTCCCCGTACCCTGGTCTCTCTTTTGCCCTCCAATCTCCCTCTTTCTCTACTTCACAGCCTCATCCTCTTCCCACCTGCCTCTCATTAGACCCCATCCAAGATGGACAGCCCAGTTGGGTCATGCCTTCACTTCAGGAGACATCCATCTTCTCTCCCAGCCATCCACGAAAGGTTACACATAGATAAATGTGGACAGTGAGTGCCTGAGGAATGACATGCAAAGTTGTCCTCTGGCAGAGATGGAAATAATAAATGAATTGTTTATAAAATGTTGATAGAAAGCACTGCTACGAGATGATTGGTAGCCTGTAAGGTTAAGATATCTTTTATTGGGTAAACACCGGCCAAACACAAGCCAGAGCGTGCCAGAGGCAGCACGGCAGGGAGGCCAGAGAGAAGGGGCCCCCATGTGCCTTGCAGCCCCTAAAAACCCTATCATGCGTCATCCTGACCTCACCTTGACCACGCCATGACAGGCGTGGTCAGGCACACCTGCAGCCAGCTCTAGCAGGCGTGGCTTACACTGTCCCCTACAAAGCACAAGCAGAAGCTGATCAACTAAAGCTTTTGCTGAGATACGATGTTTATGTCAACAACAGGCCACACAGGTCATTGTAAGATCATAACTGAGCTGAAATTTCCTGTTGCCTGGTATATTCACTATGTTTAAGCAGACAAGTACTCACTATTATATTACAATTGCTTACCATATTCAGTGCAATCTTAATATTCTTCACAGACATATCACTTGGAAGCAATAGGCTGCACCATGTAGCCTGGGCTTATAGTATAATTTTTATCTATGTTTGTGTAAATATATACTATGATAGAATCACCTTACAGTGCGTTTCCCAAAACATATCCCTGTCACTGATATATGACTCTATTTGGAAACTTTAAGACGAAATATACAACAAAGTTAAAAACAAAAACAAGAGATAAACAACAAGGGGGTAAGGGAAATCATCTGTCTGGCCCCTCCTGACTTCGGCTCATGAACTCCATGTCTCTTGTGTCTCTCTCCAGCTTTTTGGCCAGTGTCCAGTGCAGTGGTACCTCTGTCTGTGGGAGCTGTGCCCTAGCCTTCCTCCTCAGTGTGAATTCCCTGCACTTTGGACATTGTTCTGCCAGCTCCCCATATCGGCATCTCCTGGCCTCTCCTCTCCACTCTCTGCACCTCTGAGGTGATCAATCACCCGCTAACACCATCTCCTCTTGGTCTCTCAAGCCTCAGCTACCCCTGTAAAATGGAACGGCCATCCACATATGCAGTCATATGCCCAGCCCTGAGCACCTGTGCCGACACTTTAGAGTGCCCACCATAAAGAACTCAGTGTGTCAAAGCCATTGACAACAAGTACAGTGTCATCCCAGCATACTCACTAAGAAAGCGGGGGAAGATCAGCACATTTGGTGGCTCCACATATCCTCCCAAGGCCTTCTTTTGTGGGACAGCACATGGCATCCTGTATTTTCCTGGAGGGAAGCCTTTCTCTGCTTTCTGTGATCTTGTAGCTACACCCTTGTAGTTCTAGACCCTCAAACAACATAATTTATCTCTAAGACTTCATGGGTTCTAGTTGAGCCCTCAAACCCTGCTTATTCTCCTGTCACATCCAGGCTTGAAGCCATCCTCTCCAGCCTCTCAACACCACAGGAAAGCCACTTCCCCTGAAGCAGCTGTCCTGGGGCTGGGTCCAGGCTTTCTTGGTGGCCGCCCTTTAGTCCTGACCACAGGCTGACTTCCCTCTCCTCCACATGCACTACCAGTCCCTTCCATGGTCCCCATCCTTACAGGAGTCCCCCACGCACCCGAGTTTTGAGCCCAGGGCTTGAACTTATAGGTTCAGTTTCTTTCTCTCACTCCATGAATTGCAGTGCAAAGTGTGGCTCCAACTGCTCACAGATACTGCAGAGTGCCTTGCCTCATGAGCTCTCCTGGAGTCTGAGAATGCAGACCATGTAGTTCTGACATATACAGCAGGTGGACTGTGCCCTTGGAGAAAGGAGGCTACTCAAGCACCCTGCCATTCTGATTTCTCAATGATCTTGCAAGCTAGTTGCTCTCTCTTCTTGAAAGATGAAGAAACACAGCTGGGGAGATATTCAGTCACTAAAGTGTTCACCTTGCAAGCGCAAGGACCTGAGTTTGATCCGTAGACCCCATATTTTTTTTAAAAGTCACACCTGAGGCCACATTGTAATCCTAGGTCTGGGTAAAAGGAGACTGAGGTTTTCTGGCTAGCCAATCTAGCCCACTTTGTCAATTCTAGGTCAGTAGGGGACACTGACTTGGGGTGGGGGTGGCAGTGCCTGAGGAATGACATCCAAGTTTGTCCACTGTCCTCCACACAAAGGGGGGAGGAGGAGGGTATCTAAGAAGAGGAAGAGTAGGACAAGGAGAAGGGGAATGAGCAGAAAGGAGAGGGAGAAGAGGCAAAGAATGGGGAGGAAGAGGGAGAAAGGGAAAGAGAAGAAGCAGGAAAAGGGGAAGAAAAGGAAAAAGGGGAAGAATATGAAGACCAGGGGACAGAGAAGGAGGAGGAAGAGGAGTAATATGAAGGGGAAGAGGAGGGGAAGGAAGAGGAGGAGGAGGAGGGGGAGGAGGAGGAAGAGGAGGAGGAGGAGGGCAAGAAGAATGAAATAAAGCAATTTGATGAGGTCATATGGCCAGTTTGCACCTACAATGTGAACTCGAGCCCTAAACACCTGGCCCTCTGACCCTGTTCCCCATCACTGCCCCCCACTCCTCAAATGGATTCAAAGTTTCCATCTTGATCCATAGGAGAGTTGTGGGCTCTGCACACACATACAAGGGTAGGACTTAGCATGATGGCAAACCTCACTGGTGTCCAGTCCCAAATCATTCTATCCTCATTATGTTCCCCTAAGTGTTCCACACGCCCCCAGGACATGTGAGGCAATCCAATCAGAACCTGTTCTGACCCACTGAAGGTCTCAGCGTAGAGATTTCACTTCTTCCCCCATCTGTGGAAGCCACATCTCTGCCCTAGCCCCGTAGATGCATCATGAGGCTTTCTGACCTCATCCCACCTTGTAGTGTAGACAAAGCCTCTACCTGGGGGTCTTCAGGCCCTGGGTCATTATCCTCTGTGTGGTCATGATAGTGACCTTTGCTCTCTGTAGAGCAGAAGTGATGTTTCTTGGGGACATCCAGATGGGATGTGCCTCTGTCCCATAGGAGAGACACTCCTGTGCATGCAGGCTCTTCTGAAAGGGCTTGCGATGTGTCATCCCACAAAGGAGCCTGGTTCTTCATGCTCAGAAACTGTTCCTGGGGGTCCGGAGCATCTGGACTTTGTCATGGCCACCACATAAAAACTTTTCAGTGTCGTCAAAGTTGAGAGGAATGTGAAAACACCCAACTTCTCACTCCTTGTAGGAAGTCTTCCAGTATTCCTAGTAGCTGGAAGAGAGACAGAAATAGTGGGTCAATGAGATCTCTTATCACATGTATAACTCTGTGTTCTTCTATTGATGGAAAATCAGGATGTTTGCCTTGAAATTGCCTTAGCAAGTGCAGGCTTCCAAACCTGGTAGACACTGGAACAGTTTCCCCTTGCCAGTAATTAATCTACAACCACCCAGAGGCCATGGGCACTGATGCCATGCCCACACGCGCCCTAGAGGCAGGAGGCAGGCAAAAACTCAGTCACTAGGGCCCAAGTGGAAGCACTGTCCACAGTCTGGGGTGGCACCTTCTAGCAGCAGGGTGGCCTCAACTTACTACAAGTGCCATGGATGCATGGAACTGCTCATTGTTCTCAGTTTCTGAGGCTGTGAAATTCATCTGTCCCAGGAGGACTTCAACCCATGAGATCGACTTTACTCACTTTATTGGCATCCTGAGACTGAGAGAGAGATGGAGTGGCTATAGCAGGAAGGCATGAAATGGAATTCCAGATCTGTGAATTAATAGCTGAACTGGGACTTACTGGGCCTCAGTGTCTTCTCTATGAAATACGTCATAATTCCCCTACCTCTCGAGAGTGCTACAGGAGCCATAGTCATTGTCTGCAGGCCCTTGTACATTATAAAGGATTGTTCCATGGAAAGGCCAGCCTGCATCCTCCAGAACATAGGGGCAATTGAAGAGGACCCTCACCAAGCCTGGCTTTGCAGGAATTGGTAGGAGCCTGAGTACCTTTCCCTCCTACAGCCTGAGTCAGACATAGACTGAAGACATTCCCAGGGTCACTAGAGCCCATCTGTGTAAAGTCAGGTTCTTCCAGGGGTGAGCCACCTAAATGAAGAGATTCCTTAAGAATCTTGGGTAAGCCAGGCTGCAGTGGCACACACCTTTAATCCCAGCCCTGGCTGACCTCAAACTCACAGAGATCCACCTGCCTCTGCCTCCGGGGTACTGGGAGAAAAGAAAGTTGTTAATGTTCCTCAGATGAGTAGATGTTGCAGTAACAGAAATGCTAATTGCCCTGGTTTGTCAATGTTTCTTCTAGACTTATATTGAAATGTCCTGCTGTACTCTGTAAACTTACGATTACTGTCAGCTATAAAAATTAACTGTGGACAAAACAAAACCACCCCATCTTGTTTCAGATCAGGCAAGCCTGAGGATCAAATTGGCATAAGCTAAAAATAGTAGGAGAAAATCACACAAAGTTGCTAAATACAGCAATGTATATCTTAAGATTAAATGAAGACTCACAAAAGCAGTGAGAGTCCATTGTTTATGACCTGAAATGTATGAAAAGCTAGTTATAAAGAAAGAGGGCTGGGCTAGGGAAGCTAGGTGACGTGACTATGGATGTTGAAGGTAGCTAAACATGTCTAATGGTACAGATTTCTGCTTTCCTTCCGAGGAAGACCTTCATGAAAAGGCAAAGGTTAACGTGATCTTGAACTGCCAAATTTATGTTGTTTAACTCTAATAATACTTAGTATGATGGAGCAGCACATTTAGGGAGGAATGTTCTCAATGGCTTCAGAATTCAGGCCCGGGGGGGACAACAGTTGATTCTCCTGTCCTCCTGCCCAGGTGGACTCATACGATGTCACTGTGGATGAAGAACTGGGTGAGATCCAGCTAGTCAAAATTGAGAAGCGCAAATACTGGCTGCATGATGACTGGTACCTGAAGTACATCACACTGAAGACACCCCACGGGGACTACATCGAGTTCCCCTGCTACCGCTGGATCACAGGCGAGGGCGAGATTGTGCTGAGGGATGGACGTGGTAAGCTGCTCAGCCCCCTGCCACTTTAGTCCTGGAGACTAGAAAGTCTCCCCATCTCAGAGAGCCGTATTTCTGGGTGTGAAAATGACATCTCGGGTGGAGCACACCTCTGTATCCCGTGCCTTATAGGAGGTGTGATCTTCCTGGGCACTAACAAGCTCTAGAATGGAGCTAATAGCCCAAGGACACACACCAGCTGTGGCCTCCCTCTGCACACTGTCCTGGGAAAATGTGGAGTTGATGCCTTCTTCTTTTGCCACTAGGTAATGAGGGTCTCTTAACAGGCACTTGTAAGAGTAGTCCCATAAATAGGGAGCTCTGCAGGTTAGGGGAGATGGGGGGGAGGGTTCCAGAGCCACAGGACATCTCCTGAAAGCCTGGAGACAAGAGAGTTAGGCTAAGACTGCCAACTGGAATACCAGCTCCAAAGGCCAGAGGCAAGCTAGAGTTCACCATCATACTGTTTGGTATGAAACAAAGCATCCATCTTACCACATGGCTCAGGCCCGCTTTGAACTTTCAGTTCTGCTGTTTTAGCCTGGATATGCAGGGCCCAGTTTGGTACCTCTGTAAGAGGCCATTCTTTTTCAGGGGTCCCCAGCTAGCTGATAAAGAGGATTGGAGAAGGAAGCAGTTATCAAAGGTCAGCAAAGGCCTGTCTCTCTCTCTCTCTCTCTCTCTCTCTCTCTCTCTCTCTCTCTCTCTCTCTCTCTCTCTCTGTCTCTCTCTCTCTGACTGACACCCCTTGCACACTAGCTGCTTGCACACATGGGTTAAACTCAAGCCTTGGCAAACCGCTCCCTTGTAGCTGTGGCCCTTGAGTTTGCTTTCAGTCTCCATCTGGAATGATAAGCTGTACCTGCCAACTGCCACTGCAATGAGGAGGATGCCTGTTGCTGCTCAAGGCAGCAATGAGCCCTTCTCGGGGACACAGATCCCCTGCCATGCTTCATTCTTCACAGTTGGGAGATGTAGATAAGATGAGGTTGATTTAAAAAAAAAACCACCACCCCTTTGATAAAATAAAAGTGAGACCCCCCCCCAAAAAAAGGAAGTTCTTTTCTGTCTGGTGTCTTTGACCTTCAGGTCACGTTCCACGTTCCACTGTCCTTGATGTGGAGCTTAAACCAAATTCTGGGAATATTTCTGGACTGGATACTTGTGTTTAGAAAGATTTTTGCCACTCCTTCCCCAACATCAGCAGGAAACAGACAGACAGACAGACAGACAGACAGACAGACAGACAGACAGACAGACACACACACACACACACACACACACACACACACACACACACACACACACACTCATCATTCAAGTCAGCCTGTGGCTAGAACAATGAAGGCGCAGGCAGGCTGCTTTTCTTAACCCAGTGTTTTGAAGGCGTTAGAATCCTTCTTCTGTCTGCCCTACTCTCAGTGAAGTCTTTCTGCTTTCTGTAGCTTTCCATAGCAACGTGCTAGATGACACAGGCAGACTAGGATGGTCCAAGTAGGCACTGAGAGAGAGAGACTTTAGGAAGTGCCTCCTCTGTGGGAAGCACCTCTGTGTGTAGGGACAGCACCATGGCTAATCCAGATGAGCTGAGAAAACAGAAGAGCATAGGAGTGACGCAAAGGGAAGTGTTCTAAGGATAGCCCCCATGAGGAGCCATGACCTCAGAAGAGAAGTGGACATCCTGGGAGACAATGGAGAGCAGACCGGGGAGGAAACCCCCGGCCCACCTCCACATACACACACTCTCCCAAGGCCTCCACTCTAGTCTATTCCCAATGCTGAGTCTAATGGGAAGCCCACTGAAGCCATCCATTTTGTCACCTTGACAGACAAGAGAAGAAGGAGGAGATCTTCGGAGACATAAATAATCTGGCCGGCAAGTTCCATTAAGCATCAACTGTCTTTGCTTTAAACAGTCATTTAATTTGGTTAATGATCATAAAGATCTGGAATCTTGGAAAGGCTCTGCTGAGTAGATCATCTGTGTCCCCCGTGTCTTTAACTCACAGGACTGGGCTGGAGGAGTCACCACCTCAAAGATGGTATTTCTCTCCCATGACTAGGGCCTCCTTGGCCTCCATCTATGCATAACACCCCATTCAAGAAGGCATCTCACAGCATGGTCTCAGGATAGCTGCATTTCTTACACAGTAGTTGACTTCTAAGAGTAAGAATTCCAAGAGGGAGAGAATGGAAGCTGCCAGGCTTCAGACCTATACTTGGAACCAGTATAGTGGAATTCTACCACCTATCCTTGAAGGGGAAGGACACTGAAACCCCCTGAACAAGGATGTCAGTTTAGAGGTCTGGTTAATCTATGGGGCCTCTGGTAGTGGATCAGTATTTATCCCTAGTACACGAATGGACTTTGGGAGCCCCCTCCACATGGAGGGATACTCTCTCAGACACATGGGGGATGGTCTAGGCCCTGCTCCAAATGATATGACAGACTTTGAAGATCCTCCATGGAAGTCCTTACCCTCCCTGGAGAGCAGAAAGGAGATGGGATAGGGGGTTGGTGGAGGGGAGGAAAGAAAGGGAGGGAGAGGGAACTGGGATTAACATGTAAAATAAAATAAAAAAACCTTGTTTCTAATTTAAATTTTAAAAGGAAGAAAAAAAAAAGAAACCTCTCAATTTAAAGAATACCAAGCTATTTGTGGCCATGATTAGCCCACATGGCACAACAACTGATGATTTGAACAATGTGGCAAGAGGAGGGCCCACCCCCCAAGTGACCCCATTTCTCACCACAGCATGGCCTACGTCTAGTGCTTTCACAATTTCACCATTGTAATCATGAAATGATAGGATTGCCACTGTGATCCCAGCATCCATAGCATATGTGTGGTTCATTCCAGGGCTCATGTCAGCCCCTGCGAGCTGCCCAGGGGTTCTTCTACACTCAGTTGAGAAGCAGGTGAACTTATCATCCCACAGCCCAGGAAGTTCCATCAGTTGTTAGCTGGAGTCTCATAGCTGGGGAGACTGAGCCATTGTCTCGCATCAACTTGGTGTTTTGAGATCTATGGAAATCTATTCATACCAGTGCAGGTAAAGAAATGAAGCCTCTGAGAGTCAGGCTGTCCAAGGGATATTCTGGCAAGTCTAAGGTATTTGACAAAGAATACCAAATGTTCACAGCAATGCCTAGCATAGCTAGTGACAATAGGCAATTGTCACAGTTTTGACTCCTGTCAACCTCAGGGGTGTTGGGCCTGCTTCATGGTTTTGATCTTCCTCTTTGGGGCTAGTTCCGTGCCCAAGGCCAGGCATACAGTGAGCTAGAGAGCTTTCGGGGCTGAAAACTAAAGGGAATGGATCTGCAGTAAGAGAACTGATAGCAGGTATCTGAGAAACAAACACAAACCTTTGAAACACTAATTTTTTGGATGCTAAACCTAATAAAATAAAAACAGGGCTTTCAGCCTTAATGTTTTTATTTAATTTTTCCATCAATTTTAATGTATTTTGCAGAAATATAAATTTTCAGTGCAATGAAATATTTCACACAGACAGCTGGGCTATATAGTGTATATAATATATCACAGTACAATACTGTATGATAGTATATATTATGAACACCTTTTCAGATTTTCCTACTTGGGACCCTCCATGCTTGCTGAGTTTGCCTTAGATTGGAGTACAGGGGATTTCAATTTCATCTGTTTTAAGGGCCCTTAGCAACTTGCCAAAACTCCTGAAATGAGAGATGGCAGGCCAGGCCAAGTGACAAAACGCTGAGACTCCTAGGCTTGCAGATAGGCAAGAAAACCTAAGACCTCCTATGGGAACAATCCATAATAATTACTATTCTCGTTTATTAAGCATTTAAGGGGGACTAACACAGTGCAGAATGCTTTACAATGTTCTCACACTAGCATGCCCCTAAGACTCCAACAAGTAGACATTTTATATGTGAGGAAGTCAAGGCAACTTACTCTGGGTCACATGACTGAACCACAAGCCCGAGTCTGTGTCTGCTTGTATCTCTTCTACACCCACAGCCTAGGTGACCACATTCGTTTTAGAGCAGAGCCTGTCTTCTGTGTAGATAGCACAAGGGACAGGAAGTGTCCCGAATGTTGGGACTTGTGTCCTGCATTTCTCCATGAAACAACCAAATGGATTTAGACGCATAAGAGCCAGAGTCCTGATACTTTCTCCGGCAGCACAGAAGTCAGCTGGATGGCATCTCAGCATAAGACGTATTGGACTACTCTGAAATGTTTTCAAATACCCACCAAAGCCTGATATGATAATAAGAAGCCTAGCCTGTAATCCCAGCACTTGAAAGTAGGAGGGTCAGGAGTTTAAGACCAGCCTTGGGTAAATAGAAAGTTCCAGGCCAGCCAGAGTTGCATGGTGTAAAGTATGTAATACATATGTAATAAATGGAATATGCTATACATATATATGCATATGATGTTCTCATACTTGTCCCTCTTTCACAGCAAAGCTGGCCCGAGATGATCAAATCCACCTTCTCAAGCAGCACAGGCGTAAAGAACTGGAAGCTCGACAAAAACAGTATCGGTGAGTTACGGCATGGACCAAGTGGCCAGCATAGCTCCACCTATATTAGGTCCATGGTGTGACATAAGCCTGGCCACAGCAGATGGACCACTGTCTCGCCTCCGTCTTCAGGCAGAGAAAGTGAAGGGGTCAAAGAAAAAGGTTGAGAGCAGTCATATTGCTTTGGGGGAGATGGGCCCACAGAGTGTGAGTCACCTGGATGCTTTCCCAGTATTGTGTGGACTGCTTTAATGATTTATGTCTTCCTGCAAGTCATATCCAAGGATAAAAGAATAGCCTTTTAAATAAATGGTGATGAGAAAACTGGATACGTACATATGTAGCAAGAGAAAAACAGATGATTTTGGCATCACCAAAGTTTAAAGCTTTTTATGTTTCTTTTGTTGTTGTTTTTTTGTTTGTTTGGTTTTTCGAGACACGGTTTCTCTGTGGCTTTGGAGGCTGTCCTGGAACTAGTTCTTGTAGACCAGGCTGGTCTCGAACTCATAGAGATCTGCCTGCCTCTGCCTCCTGAGTGCTGGAATTAAAGGTCTGCGCCACCACTACCCAGCAGCTTTTATGTTTCTAAGGATGCCATGAAGAAAATGAAATGAAAGATTCTGTTGAGAAAGTATTTGCCTTATGAGCATGAGGAACTGAATCTAACTCCCAGAATGCACACCTTAAAAACAACTGTAGGGCCTGGAGAGACTGCCTAGAAAAAAAAATGCTTGTCACACAAGCAAGAGGACCTAAGTTCAAGTTCTTAGCAGCCATGTAAAAGCCAGGAGCTACAGTGCATTGTTGGGGCAGAGACAGCTCACCAGAGCTCACTGGTCAGCCAGTCTAGCAAAATCAGTGAGCCCAGGCTCAGTGAAGAGATCCAGTCTCAAGAAATATAGTAGAGAGTGATCCAGGACACCCAACACCAACTTCTATTGGTCACCACTCCCCAACATACACATACACCACCACACACATGAAATCAAGCATGGTAATGTGTGTGTAATCCTAGTTCTGGGGGTGAAGAGACAGGCAGATTCCTGGGACTCTATGCAGCCAGCCTAGCCTCCTTGGGGAGCTTCTCTCTAGTGAGAGACAATATCTCAAAAGCAAGGTGGATGGCTCCTAAAAATGACAGCTGAGTTGTCCTCTGGCCTCCACATTAATGGGCACAAGTGTGCACATAAACACACCTACACACAAAGAACCCAAACAATGAGAAGGAATATTGGCAAATCATTTACTTGACTAAAGACATATCCAAACTATATAAAGAACTCTTTTTCTTTTCTCTCAGGACAGAGTTTCTCTGTGTAACCCTGGCTGTCCTAGCTCTGTAGATGATGTGTGGCCTCAAACTCACAGATATCGTCTGCCTCTGCCTCCCATGTGCTGGGATTAAGGTGTATGCACCACCACCACTGGGCTATAAAAAAAAAAAACTCTTAAAACTCATCAAGAGACAAATAATACAAGCAAAAGTTCAAAGTCCAAATAAATGGATATTTCTCCAAGAAAAATATGTAAATGAGTAATAAACATATGAAAGACAGGTACTTGACACATCAGTTGTCTGGAAAATGCATATTTGGGATGGTTAATGTTCACTGCCAACTTGACCTGATATGGAATTGCACAGGTGTAGGTCAGTGTGCCTGTGAGCTCCAGAGAGAATTAAATAAGTGGGGAAGGCCTAATTTGAACATGAGCTGCTCCATCCTACAAACCTAGAGTCCTAGATGGTCTAAAGGGAGTCAAGAGGTCTAAAAGGCAAGGAGGGCCCTGGCATTCCCCTTCCTCCACTTCATGACCCATCATGATAAGAATGGCTCTATTACATCTCACTCTACCCAACATGTTGGACAAGATCTTTCAAACTGAACAAAACAGAACTTTTCTCCCTGAATCTGTGTTGAAGTCACACTGATTAGAAAGACAACCAAATACATATGTCCATGGAAACACTTCTATATGTATGACTGTTGTACTTATAACCCCAATAATCCAAAGATGTGTACAACTTAATGTCTATTAATGGATGGATGTATGGATGGATGGGTGGATAAAATGTCATATATTTATGTAATTTGATGTGGGTTCCAGGGACTGAACTTAGTTCATCAGGCTTGGCGGTAGCACCTTTACCTGCTAAGCCTTCTTGTCAGTCCCACTATGAGGAATGTGTAAGAGTTCGAACCTTTGGGCTAGAGAAGCCCTATAATGTTTTAAGCAGGCTTAATGGACCATCCTGGTGGGACTTCAGAAGACTGAAGTGCCAAGAGACATAGGGAGAGTGGGAACCTGGTTCATTGGTTTTCAGAGAACCAGGACTCTACTGGTAATTGAGCTGGAGTCCATTTTGTGATATTCTGGCATAGAATCTGGTTCCTTCTGCCCCGTGGCCTGAGAACGTGCATGATGTATAATTAAAGAATAATGGACTAATAATTTTGGCAGAGGAAATTTCAAGCAGGATAGCATCTAGCCTGTACCACAGCTACTGCTTACTGCTCTTACCCAGGACTCCCGTGAGAGAGATTGCCTTGTCTCGCAGGAGACTTTGGACTTCTGGATGATCTTGGAACCTTTGAGGGCTTTTAGGGATGGGCTAAACTTACTTGCATTATATGACTGTCATAAACCTACAGGGAACAAGGATGGAAGGTTATTGCTTAAAAGTGGTGTGTTTGGGTATCAAATTGATAAGGACTGTGACTTGTGAGGGTTAATCTTGTCAACTTGACAGGATCTAGAGTAACCTAGGAGATAAATCTCTGGGCAAGTGCAAGAGGGAGATTTTAGATTATGTAAATTGAGATGGAAAGAACACACCCCTCCATGGTTTCCCCACCAAGATGGACTTGCACACTCAAATTGGAAACTGCAATAAGCCTTTCCTTACGAAGTTGCTTTTGTCAAATATTCTGTCACAGCAAGGTGGAAGTAACTAATACCTAAACAAACGCATTACTGCTTTAAAGATTACCCTGATCCGAACATTCCTTACAAAATAAATTATACAATTAATGACATGTTGTGACTAGCTTCTTTCACTTAACAATGTTTTTTAGGCTCATGCACGCTGTAGCAGCTAGTACTACTTCATTTTCTGTAGAGAGAACAGACTCCTATATGTTGTCCTCTGGCCTCCACACGCATGTCATGGCAAGCATGCACATGCGCGATTGATACATCAAGGCACTAAGGAAGGTGATTAAGTGTACAGAGTCTTGCCCCAGTGAATGAAACATGAATTGGTCTGAATCATGTCTGAGATTATACATTTAAGGAACCTCCCAAATCCACCAAAACACCTGATAAAAATTTACATACCCAATCCAACATGAAGACACACACAGGCACACGGGCACAGAGAGAGAGAGAGAGAGAGAGAGAGAGAGAGAGAGAGAGAGAGAGAGAGAGAGAGAGTAAATACATGTAGGGGGAAAGAACCACAAGATAAGTTTTGTCACGGTGTTACCTTGCTTCTATTACCAATCTTGCTTATTATCTACTGCTCTCATCACCATGGCAAATACTTGACAGAAGCAACTGAAAGAAGGAAGGAAGTTTTGCTTTGGGACTTGTGTCTGATGTTTTGCATCTTTGTACAGTCTGAAGGAAGACATGCAGGCAGAGCATGAGGGGCTGCTCCCATTGAGCCCACAGTCAGAGAAGAGAGAGATGAAGGAGGGTATTCTATGTGCTCTCTCTTTTTTATTCAGTCTAGGATTCCAGCTCTGGAACGGTACTATCTACATGTGGGGTGGGTCTTCCCATACCAATTGCCAACACACTAACAGCTACCTCACAAGCGTGCTCTGAGGTTTACCACCTGAGTGATTGTAGGTCCCATCAAGTTCACCATCAACATTAACCACCAGTTAGCTTTCCCTTATATGGAAAAATATCTGAGGGAAAATAAATTAAGATGGGAAATGCGTATGTTTGTATCATAGTTCTGGAAGTTTCAGTCCCCAGCCAGGAGGACCCGTGGTGTTGCCTCATGTCAAAGACACACATTATGGCAAAGTCAGTATGGTATGGAGCAAAGCTACCTACCTCACAGCAGCTGGAAGACAGACAAAGGGTCCAGGATCCAATGTCCCCTTAAGGGAATGCCCTTTTGAAAGGTTTCACAACTTTCCAGGAATACCATTATCAGGAATTCAAGCCTCTAATTCATGAAGCTTTAAAGGACATTGATCCAAACTATAGATGTTGCATAGGAACAAAGAAGGGCCAGTGATAGCAATGATGGCTAAAGACACAGGTTCCTTTCAGAAATCAGAAAAATGCTCTAAAATTGACTATGGTGATGGTTACCCATATGTGTGAATATGCTAAGTAGACCTGGATTTTTTACTTTCATTGGGTAAATTTTATGGTATAAGAATTATATCTCTAAAAAATCTGTAAAAACTATTAATGAATTAAAAATGAAAGATAGACTTGTTAAGAACAGAATCTGTACAACATGTAGAGAACAGAAGCAATTCTTCATAGTCAGGCTCACCAAAGCCTCTTAGATATGGTACCAGGAGCACACACAGTACAAGGACAATTGCCAAGCTGCATTTTGTCAAAACTTGAATTTTCTCTACTTCATAGAACTCCATCAAAACAGTAAAAAGATAGAATGGACCAACGTCTGCAAACTTCATCCAGTAAGGGACTTGAATTCAAAATATATAAACTCTGACAAGAATTTTAAAAAAGACAGACCCAAGGAGGGGCAGGAATCAAACCCCAGGACGCCACTAGCAGGGTCAAACGCTGCAGCTGTTCTGAGGGACAAGCCAATGCTTCCTCAGAATTGTAAATCATACAGTTCTGTGGCCGATCGTGAACCATGTGGCCCAGCAGCTCTTCTACTCCTATGTGTTTCCACAAATAATACAATCAGAATTAGAGCACTTACCTAGTATATAAAGAGCTGTGGATTCAGTCCTCTGCACTGTAGCAATACTAGCAATAGTAACTGAGCCATATGCCAAGCCCAAATACTTGAATGCAAA